GCTTGTGGCCTGTCTCAAAAGGTTTGGAAAAGCTTTGCCCGTCAGCTCAGCACAAGCACAGGCAAGGCTCCAATATGGATTTATGGGTGGGGAGGAGCTTAGTGTCTTCCGGTTTAAAAGCAGATGCAAGATCTTGCCCATCAGGAGGGAAAACCCAAAATGGCAGGACAGAGACCCACAGGAGCCACGGTGGGTCTGCAGGACTCTCAGAGGACGACACTGAATGCACGGCCCGATGGGATGAGGAGCACTGAGCTGCAAGCAGAGAATACCTTCTTAAATAGCCCCCTCCCACCCCCAACAGCTCAGACGCCGTATCAGGCTGAGCATATCACCATCTGAAAGCTGCTTTCCTAGCAGCATGTACTGATCTGGTGCTCTCCAGCAGGCATCTTGAAGCATGTACAAGCACCAGTGAGCTGGGCCTCACAGCAGGTTGGTATCACGCCCATTTTATAGACAGGGAAACCAAGGCACAGAGAGGTCCATGAAAGGTCCAGGGCCAGATCCCAGCTCTCCTGTACTGTAGTGATGAGACCATCCTTCCATATGCAGCAGAGCCTTAAGAGCAGCATACGCTGCTCACCCATTGCTGCCTTCCCTCTCGCAGTCTCCCCGCCCCGTTTCATAAGGCACCACAATCACCGAGGCAGGTATGAGTGAGCACCCGCCCACTTCAGGTGCCTTCCAAAACCCACAACACAGATATCTAGACTAAGCAATCAACAGAGAGGGAGTGATTTCCATTACGGAGCTAAGTTTTGCCTCTGTTGTATAAGCAGTCCTGACCTGGGCACTCACACCAAATAATGCCTCTGATGTTATCAAGACTCAGACATTGGACTGAGTGTTCAATGCACACCATCAGAGCATGGCTCAGACTCAGCATGGGGTGGAAAAATCCCTTGGCACGGCTTGTCCTGCTTGGAGAGTCACTTCCACAGTTCTCCCGCAGAAGCAATTTACCGTAATACTCAGGAGAGAGTGCAAGGGGTCTGCGGGAGACGGGGCGAATCTATGCTCATGAATGACTGCCAGGGCAGCACAGGCTGGAAAGGCATTCACTTCCCACCACCAAGCACATGCCGCTTCCGCTGAGGACTGATGTTGCCCCTATTAAAGCCTGGATATTTCTATCTCCAGGTTCAATGCCTTTTCATATTAGGCATATCAAGGAACTTCCAGGAATCTGGGGCAGGAACCTTCTTTTTTCATCCTGGGTTTGCAGAGCACCTAGGATGGTGGGGGCCTGCATTCAATGCCAACAGTGTCTGCCCAGCTCTTAGTGCCTCGGACCCTTCTCCAGAATTCACCCCAACCCACACTAGAGAAAGAGGAGCAGAAATCCAGATCTCAGCCTTGCCCAGGATCAGGAACAGCCTGACTCTTCTCCCCGGGGCAGTGCTGTCTATAAATGATCCCAGCAGAAGGGATCACATGCTGCCAGCCTCGTGTTCAGTGCGTGCCTGACAGGAGTGGCACGGGCACTTGAATTTTAATGCATTAATTATAGTCAATTACCACTTCCACCCCCACTGCCCTGGCAGGACAGCTGTACCCTGCTCTTGTATTAGTGGGGATTTTTTTTTCCTTCCACCATGTTGCTAAATGCAATGAATGAATCAGCCAACTTCAGCCTCTCCCACCATGGCCAGACTTACGGCCGTGTCCAGCCGTTCGAACGTTCCCCTCCGACTGGGCCATGACAGACTCAGGGGAACAGGTGGGGGCAGCAGAAGTAGCGTCAGGCTGGCAGTTAACATTGTGACGTGCTCCTCCTTTTGCCCCATCAAGCATCACAAGGTTGTTGGCACAGCCCCCTTAAAAACCAAGGGGGTCCTAAAGGGACCAGGTAAGAGGGATGAGGCACTAGGCATGGTCCCTGCTGATAGATTCATCCTGGCATGGGTGGGAAGAGACTCCCTGCACCTTTCCCAACAAAGCCACTGTCTTCAATGACTCTTCTTCACTTGTGAGCACCTCAGCCAAACCCTTCCTACTTCCCCTTTTGCGCTCAGCAAGTTACCAAGTTATCAACATTTAAGATTTCCAATGCGAGGTACTTGCAGAGACAGAGGAGCAAGCTTGGTGCTGCAGGCCACGGGCGGTCAGACTGGCAGGGCCATGTGCTGGGTGCCCTAGAAATATCCAGGATAGAGAGCACGACCCTCATGCAACACTGCACTCTCATGCCACACTCGCTCAGCACCTGCAGTGTGGCTCTCCCTGAGCTTTATTAGGGTTATTTTTATTACAGACGTCCATCTGGTGCCAGCCAGACAAGCCCTGGTGAATGGAGGCTGTCTACAGAGCATGGCCAGTGGCAAGACAAACTCTTCACATATACACACACATGTTCCTGGAACTGCTGAGCAACAGGGAGAAAGTATTTCAGTCTCCATGCCATGTCCAGCCGTTGGGCTCTGCAGGCACTCACTGCCAATACAAGGTATACGCTTGCCCTGCAAGGAACTGAGACCCATCAAACTCATTTCACCAAGGCCACCAACCTCTTCCTTATCGCCAGCTTGAGTTGAACTCAATTAGGTGACAGAGGCCAGAAGAAGCTGAATCCTTGTGCCGAGCCCCTGCACCAACTAATTCTCCTTTGTATCCATTTCTTCCCAATTTAAGCACATAAACAAAAAGCCCAGCCAAATCTCCTTAATGATCTGATAATCTTTGTGTAGAGCTCAAGTTTATGTGCAGTTTCTTTCGCGTGAAGAGTGGTGCTCTGGGAAGGTGGTTTCCTTGAAAGCTCCTTGGAACAAACAAGATGGAACGACACCTGCCCTCAGCGGCTAGAGATTATATTACGAAGGGAAGATTATAGACGTAGCACGTGTGTATACACACACAAGCACCAACAGCAACACATACACACTGCCCTTCTCTTTACTAGCAATTTAAAATGTGCATGTATCTATATCAAGGTGTGACACATTATATGTCAACTTGCCTACAGTACAATAAATAGCATGAAAGACTTGAGAGTATTAAATCATACCCCTGCCTCTAAGTGGGGTTACACAGCCTGCGGATGGAGTCTATAATACTCTCTTCACATCAGCTTTTACCCACCTGAGAGGCAACAGCTGATGCCCCAGGACTGAAAGTCAGTTCTGAATCCTCGTCCCAGCCCTGCTGCTGCGTGAGCTGGAGTAAGTCACTTCCCTTGGCTATACCCCTGCTTCCCCACCTGTGAAATGGGGATAACATCACTAATCTGCCTTGCAGAAGGGTTGTAAGGATAAACGGCATGACCCTTACACTTGGAGAAGTATGAACGCTTACTTTCATCTCAAAGGATACGCGTGTGGGGCAGAAATACCATGACCTCCCTTAAACAGTTCATAGAGACAACACGTGGAGAAATCCTTCTTGGCTGGGGGCTTTGGCTTTTGCTCAATAGGACACAAAGGTGACCAAGGCATTGCTTTCTACAGAGACACTCCTCATACAGTACAAGAGCTTGCGTGTCTGGGCCTGCTCGACCGGCAGTACATCCCTACGGAGCCGTGACCGGTTATCTGCTGGTGGTAACCTGGCTAGGACGTCTTCTGGTAAGGCAGCTGCCTCAACTGCAAAGCACCTCTTGCCCCCCGGCTCCTGAGATCCCCAATGCCGGGCACCTCAAAATCACCCTCTCCCGACACACATACTCATTGCTACTATGTAGCAGAGGTGGGAAGTTCGATGTTGCCGTATTAAAAACCTCTGACTCACGCTACGCAGAAGGGTAACGACACACCAGATACACGGTCCTGGCTGACCACCATTAGCATGTCCTTTTCTGTAGAGGAAGGGACAGCCGCTACCCTGCCCCCAGCCCTGCCACCTATGTACCACCGCTCTTATTTATGACGGACAAAAGGAAGCCCCACTGGGACCTCTGTCTTTTCTTCGCTGCCCTCTGCTCTCCCTTTTCCCTGTTTGTTAATTCATTAGCGCTCTGGGTCAGCTGCCCAGAACTAATCAATCAGAACTGGATTTTCCGTGGAGATTTTTTTTTTTTTTTTTTGTGACTACCGACACATAGCGCCTCCGAAACCACACTCCTACGCTCGCCGCCTTTGCAAACTGGCTTCCGTGCCATCGAATCAGCTTGTCTTCCTCATCCCTGCGCCCCAAAACATACTTTCACGTTTCACCCCAAATCCCAAAGCCGCCCGCTGTCCTCTGGCATGGGACCAGCTCCTCACGTGCCCAACAAAATGAAACCCAGAACTGGGCAGTGATTCTCAATCTTTTTTAGACTCAAGGCACCCCTGGATACACGCGAGGCACTTCTTGGAAAAGGCCAGCTCTTAGTTTTCACTCTTTTTTTGCCTATAGAAAGACAACAGAGCAGTTTTTCCTGTTGCCAAGATCCCACAACGATGGCGACTAGGGATCTCTGGGTTTATCTTGCGAATCGTATCTGTAAACCTAACACGGTGCGGCACTCCGCAGCACCCTTGAAAGGATCTCTGGGTGCCGTGCAACCCTGGCGGTGATTCACTGATCCAGACGGAAAACATGTATACTTGGGGGGGAGGAAAAGCACAGATTTCAGCTTGGTTGGGCCTCCCGCTTTCCCCAAAGAAGAGCAAAAAAAAAATACCCCCCTGGAAACAGGACACACGGGTGAAAACGACGGCCGCCACCAGCGACGCTTCTGCGCGTGGTTGCACACTCGCCCCGGGTGCGCGTGCCACAACACGCTCGCGGCTTCCCCGAGACACGCGGGAAGCCATGGGGGGAAAGCGGCCCCGGTTGCAGGGCACCGCCGTGGGGCTGGAGGCCTCTTTGTGGGGCAAACCCCCCTTTGCATGCGTCCCAGGCCGCGCACTGGGCCTGCCTAAGGGAGCCTGGGTGCGTGGGAGCTGGAAAGGCCGGGGGAAGGGTTGGGCGAGGAAGGAGGGGGGTGGGAAATGCTGGGATTGGAAACCAGCCCCAAATCAGAGCGGGAAGCCGCTCCAGGGGCAGCCCCAGCGCCGGGAGCGGGGCCGGGCGCTTACCTGCTCCGTGCTCCGGAGGGCGCGGGGCCGGGGCGGGCGCGGGGAGCGGAGCTGGAGCCAGCGGCCGGGAAGGGAAAGTTTGTGCAGGGAGGAGCGGAAAGTTGGGAGGCAATCAGGAGGCG